TTGAACGACTTAACTACTGCAATGCACAAAACTACCTCAACCTATCGGCACTTGATACGGCCAACATTATCGCACTTGTGTCGAAGGCCGGTATTGTACGCGGACTACAGTTATGGCAGAACGGGGCTATGCCCTCGATCGGACCAGGACGCGGCCGAGGCCGACCCAGAGGCCGAGGTCGCGGATCGTTCAGAGGACGTGGCAGCAACTAGGATTTCGGCAAAGCCACCAGTACCCAGCTCGTGCGCCGGAGCCATGAAGATTTCGAAAGGGGGCTTGGTCTCGTAAGGAGGCCCAAGTATACAGCACTACCTCACTTCACCGAAAAGGTGGAGCGCAATGATCTTCCAACTTACCACGGACGACTACCGACTAAACCTGACGAACTACGAACCATTGACACATGGTTAAAGCCGCTATTACAGCAACGCAAGATTACGCCACTACCGGATAGACCGAACTTCACACTACCGACTCGCGTGGTAAAAGACAGAGTCACCCACGACTGCCGACCACTACTACCATACGTTAACGATGCCGGACGCTTTCCAAACCTGCAGAGCTGCTGGCCTATAATTACGTGGGGAGCTCAACAACCACTGCTAGCTAAGATTGACCTATCAAAGGCATTCCACACTATACCACTGACGAGAGACCAGATCGGTACCTACGCATTCGAGCACCGCGGCAACTACTACGCGTACCAATGCATGCCAATGGGCGCAACCAACGCGCCTAAACACTTCCACGCTACTATGGGAACTATACTGAAAGATCTACCATTCGCCGAACACTTAAGGTTCTATCAAGATGATATATTCATCGCTGCTGACAACTACCGAGAACTTAACCGAAGATACAACCACACCAAACAACATCTAACGACCTACGGCTTCAAAGTCAATCCACAGAAGAGCCAACTACGCTGTACCAACATACTCGGATATGAACTACTCAACCACACTTTGACTATACCGACTAAGAAATGGCAAACCATACAACACCTAATAGACACCAACGTTCATGCCAACATTACTCGCGCAGCGCAAATACTTCAGTATTACAAACATGCACTAACTACAGCTCAACAAAGACTCGTCACTAAACTACTACAACAAAAAGTTAAAGACAACGATATACTTAAGATCTACTGCCAAAACTTCAGAACCAAACCGAAACTTACGTACCAACCGCAGCCTAATAAACCGCTTAGATTGTATATAGATACCAGCAACGTCGCCGTCGGCCTTAACCTATCACAAGGCAGTAATAATCTGATGAGTAAATCCATACCTAAACCAGCAACACACAACTACAGTAATACCAACGAGGCCCAAGGAGGCTATGCCATACTTAAGAAGCACCTCGCTCAAATAAAAGACTACTGCCGAACTTTACGCAAACCGCTACTGATTTTTACTGACAACGCACTACTCAACACGGCCCTTAACAGACCTGAACCAGACGATAAAGGCGACGTCTACTATTTCGCTAACAAAATACTAAGACTACTCAAGACGACAGATACTAAAGTTACATACCACCACATTCACGGCAAATTCAATCCAGCAGATGCACCAAGTAGACAACCTACCGGCAAATTAAAAATAGCCGAGAAGAGAGATACCGCAGAAAACCGATTGTGGGCCAACGACAAGTTCTATCGCACACAAGAGATGAACCGCACACAAGAACCTAAACGCACACAGAGCAACTATATATCTCGCCCACAATTGCAGACCGAAGAATTAATTAATACCCGCAAGAGACCTCCGGACGCTGATTATTATTCACCGGAGAGCCGTCTCAACAGAACAGTAAACATTAAAATTT